CCTCCCCCGGACTCAAAAAAAATTCCATGGCCCTCCCCCCGGCTCAAAATTTTTTTCAATGGCCCTCCCCCCACCCCAAAAAATTTTTCGGTGGCCCTCCCCCCCATTTTTCCAGTCCATGTCTCTTTCTCCCTCCGTAAAATTCCCGAATGAAGTACGCATCCCGATTAAAGTACGCACCCCCGATTTGGGGCTGGTGGGAGACAAATATTCCCGTCTGAAACGTAAAATGGAAAAACTGGAATTAAGTACGCACCCCTTCTACGCACGGCCGGTACCACAGTGAACATGTAGTATGTATGTCTTTATAATTTGCTTACCCTGGATGTCAAACTAGTATCGGGCCGCTAGCAATTTCCTTCGGTAGCCAAGAGTCTTTCGCCCGCGGGTCTAAGTTACCGCTACGGGGAGACTAGCCCGGGGGGAGTTTGGCTGGCCCTTTTCGGGGCCGGAAAAACCCTCAGGCTCAACTCCCCCGTAGCGGTAATTTAGATAGGCGGGCGAAGGGCTCTTGGCTGCCGAAGGAAAACTGCTACCGGCCCGATACTAGTTTGGCATCCAGGGTATAATTTGCTGTGTTCCGTCTATGCCACAAATAATGCATGTGTCAGGCGTGTGAACATGAATACCCACGCCAATGTACGAGGAACAGGTTTGACCCGTCAAGCCTTGATTTATAGCAGTTTGCGGTAACTTGAGGAGAGAGTAGTCTCCATAGCATGCCAAAAACTGGGGGTCTTCAGGGTCTTTGGGAGCTTTTATGTGCTATTTTCTGATTGCATATAGACAACATAGCCGGCCTGGTTGAATTACCCCCGTTTTTTGTTAGAACTGGGCTAATTGGGGTTTAAGTCAGAGTGCTAACCTCCTAGCGGTATTCCCCGGGCAACAGCCATAGCAATGACCCTGGGTTGCGATACCACCGGGAGCAGGTTGGTGAGCCATCGGCGTAGCGCCGCGAGGCCCCCCCTGTTCCTGGCAGGTTCAACCATGGTGGGACGGTTCTCAGGGGAGCTTTTGCTGGCTAATAGCACCTGCACCGCCGCAGTCCCCGATGGGCGGTATAGAAATACAGCCGAGGTTGTGCGTAGGGCCAGCAACCCACCACGGAAAAAACCATTGCGACGAAACCTCAACAAGTTGAAAATTGCAGTAGGACTGACCAAAATGGCTCATTGACCCAGGAACGGATGGACTTACGCAAACGGAAAAATGGCAGCATTATGAAAATTGCTACTTGGAATGTGTTATCTATGAGCAAGGACGGCTCAGCGCAGCTGGTATCAAATGAGCTCTCACGTCTTGACATCACACTAGCAGGACTTACTGAAGTCCGATGGCCTGGTTCTGGCACCCATGCAACCAACGGATTTACTTATCTCTGGTCTGGGCGGAATGATGGCATACGTCGTCAAGGGGTAGCCCTTGCCCTCGCCCCCCTAGCGCATCGTGCTCTTGTATACTGGAAGCCGGTAGACAACAGACTTCTGATGGCTCGCCTTCGCCACAAGCATGGCAACATCTCCATCATAGTCGCCTATGCCCCCACAGAAGTAGCCAGTGAGGAGGACAAGGACTCATCTTACATAACGCTGTCAGCCCTCACAAGTGGTATCTCAAGACATGACATCATCTGGGTACTGGGAGACCTCAACGCCGCAACAGGCTCGGACAGACGCGGCTTCGAGCACTGTCTTGGCCCCCACGGAGTCGGCGAATGCAACGATAACGGCAGACGACTCCTGGAGTACTGCTCCAGCCACCGCTTGCGCACGGAACGCTCCTTCTTTCCCCACAAGAGAATCCACAGCATGACCTGGATCAGTAACGACCACTACACCACTAAGGAGGTGGACCACATCCTTACCACCTCACGCTGGCACTCCTCCTCGGACTGTCGGGTTCTCCGCAGTGCAGAATTCGGGAACACGGACCACAGACTTCTAGCCCTGACCGTTGCTCTTCGTCTAGAGAAGACTACAACTCAGCATAAACAACGCAAGTATGATGTGGCCAGACTCCAGTCACAGGAGGTGGTCGACCGTTTCCAGTTGGATCTGCAGAACCGTTTTTCTGTGCTGGCGGATGTAGACGACGACACAGAGAAAAATCTGGGAGGATCTCAAGGAAGGTCTAACAAGCTCCGCAACTAAGGTGGTGGGTCACAAAAGGACCAGAAAGAAGGATCTCCTGTCAGAAGAGACGTTACAAGTAGTTGAGGCAAGGAGAGAAGCCCGTCTGCGAGGGAACCGTGAGGAGTACAGGAGGCTGAACTCTAGGAGGAATCACCTCCTCAGTAGGGACAAGCAACGGTGGCTAGACAACCTGGCGACTACGGCTGAGACCGCTGCACGCACAGGGAATCAAGGCACCCTGTATAAAACCCTCAGAACTCTCTCAGGGAAAGTTACTCCACCCACAGCGTGTGTAAAGGCCCTGGATGGGTCTGATCTGGATACTCCAGAACAGCAGCTGGACCGCTGGAGAGAGCACTTCTGCAACCTGCTCAACCGACCACCTCCACCACCCTCACCACAGTTGGAATCCCTAGTAGCCGAGGCTTCAGAGGACGATTCCATCTCTGCTGACCCCCCTACACAGGAGGAAGTGCTGGAGGCGATTGGCAAGCTCAAGCCCGGTCGAGCAGCAGGGGTAGACGGCATCCCACCAGAGCTGTTGCTGAAAGGTGGTCCTGCGGTAGCAGCCCAGCTCCATGTCCTGATCACCGCCATATGGAGAACAGAGACTGTTCCCATGGACTGGCTCCACGGGATCATTCTACCTTTCTGGAAGAAAGGCCCCAAGGACAACTGCGGCAACTACAGAGGCATAACCCTCCTCAGCGTCCCAGGGAAG